GCTCATGAGCACAATTAAGTGTTCTGGAATTCCCATTCTTCGCAATGTTATCCATAATTTGTTATGATCCACACAGTCAAATGCCTTTGCATAGTCAATAAAACACAGATAAACACGTTTCTGGTGTTGATGAAGATCAAAGACTATAACCTTCAGTATGGATTACACCTCACATAAAGAAAACAAAAATCCTCACAACTGGACCAAAAAGTAACATCATAATTAACAGAGAAAATATCGAAGTTGTCAAGGATTTCATTTTACTTGGATACACAATCAATGCCCATGGAAGCAGCAGCCAAGAAATCAAAGATGTATGGCATGGAGCAAATCTGCTACAAAAGACCTCTTTAAAATATTAAAAAGAAAAGATGTCACCTTGAGGGATAAGGTGGGCCTAACCCAAGCCATGGTGTCTTCAATTGCCTCATATGCATACAAAAGCTGGACAATAGATAAGGAAGACAGAAGAAGAATTGACCTATCTATAATTATGGTGTTGGTGAAGAATATTGAATATACATACCATGGGCTGCCAGAAGAACAAAAAATCTGTCTTGGAAGAAGTACAGCCAGAATGCTCCTCAGAAGCAAGGATGGCGATACTTCATCTCACATATTTTGGACATATTATCAGGAGGGACCAGTCCCTAAAGAAGGACATCATGCTTGGTAAAGTAGAGGGTCAGCAAAAAAGAGGAAGACCTTCAATGAGATGGACTGACACAGTGGACGCACCCAGGGGTTCAAGCATTAACAACGATCCTGAGGATGGCGCTTGGCTGCTAACCAAAAGGTCAGCAGTTCAAAACCACCAGCGGCTCTACAGGAGAATGATGAGACAGTCTGCTTCCGTAAAGATTTACATCCTTGGAAACCTGACGGGGCAGTTCTACTCCGTCCTATAGGGTTGCTATAAGACAGAATTGACTTGACGGCAGTGGGGTTTGGTTTGGTTTGGGGTGAAGCCTGTCAATTTGCATTTTCTAACAATCTCCCAGCTATGGTAGATGGTGCTGATCTGACAGCGTCACACTGAGGTGGCTGTGTTAGAGCCCAAAGCAGAGACTTTCCAATTTCAGCCTGTTTGATAACACCCATGAAATCTTTTGAAATGAGGTTTCAAGTACCACTCCTCCTTCTGGTCTGACTCATTAGATCTGGGTTGGGGCTCTAGAACTTTCATTTTTAACAAGTTCTCAGATGGTCTGACAATAAAAAAAAAGATTGTGCAGCAAATGAGAATCACTGGGCTAATTTGTGAGAGATACTCAGGTATTAGACAGTTCTGCACTCATAGCACCTGAACTCCACGGTGACCCAAAGCAGAATGCCGAGAAGTTCTCCAAGTGCCTGCACGAGGAAAGCTCCACTCTGGTTTCTTTTGAAGGCCCAGCTCTAATCATGTCATTCTTCTGCTTATACCTTGTAGATAGTTCTCCACTGACTCCTTGATGCCAACAAATCTCTTGAGTGGTGATCCTCTATGAAGCCAGACAGGAGTTTTTTTGTTTTTGTTTTTAAAGCATCTGAAGGAATCGTGAGTAGTTTATGTAAAAGAACATATTCTGGTTCTGAGAGAGGAGCAGCAAATAGATCAATCTTATGTTAAGGGTGTGGGAAGGAGAAACCAGTAAATCTGGGGAGGTGGGAAACCAGAGGATGGAACATTAGACACAATGAGAGGCCAAGCCTGCAAGGATTTAGCAAAGGAGCATCCATTCTCCAAGGCCCATTACACCAAGAAGCAACATGCAAAGTAGTTAAGAGCAGGACTGCAGGAGTGATAGCAACTGGAGTTAGGGCCCCAGGTTCTTCTCTTACCACTGGCCAGGTGGCTGAACTTCTTTGGCCTGTTTTCTTATTTGTAAAAGAGTATAAAAATAGCCACCTTTCAGGGTGGTGGTGAGGATTAAATGAGAAAAAAGTTACAGACTTAAGCAGTCTGGCACACAGCAACACTCAATAAATGGTAGCTCTTATTACCACCAGTAACGGTTAATATGTTAAAGTATATAAAAACCCACTGCTGTCGATTCTGACTCATAGTGACTTTAAGGACAGGGTAGAACTGCTCCGTAGGGTTTCCAAGGCTGAAATCTTTATGGAAGCAGACTGCCACATCTTTCTCCCAAGGAACAGCTGGTGGGTTTGAACTGCTGGCCTTTCAGATAGCAGCCAAGCACTTAACCACTGCCCCACTGCTTAGTATATTCACAATAGTCAGACTTGTCGATTGTATCATTATTACTTCTGGCAACTCAGTGATTTATTTAACTGTCCACTGGGGTTGACAGGATAACAGAAGGGTAGAATATAGGCCTGGACAAAATTATACTTGTTTTTATATTCCTTCAGATGAATTTTTGCTTTAAAATAAACACTGGGTGCTTTTGACTATTTCTTAGTTGAAGCAAGAAACCATTTTCTTCTTGCTACTAATAAAAAAAAACACAATTTCACAGTAAAAATGCAAGTAATACATTATACTTCCATAAAATTTTATTTCACACATTTAAATGGTATTAAAGATCATAAAAGGAAGAAGTCCCTGCTCCACCTGGTACCGATATTCAGAGGTAACTTCTGTTCATAATTGTTTACCTAACCTTCCAGAAATGTTGCATGCTCTGATTTTATACAAATTGCCCTACTATGAATTCTATTCAATAACTTGCATTATCTCTTAGTACATCCTGCAAATCTTTCAATAGTGGTGCATATAAGCCTATCTCCTTCTTTTTAAGGGCTATGTTGCATTCACTGTATGTAGGAACCGTGTTTTATTTACCAGTCTCCCACTGCTGGACAGTTAGAGTGATTCTAGTTTTGCTATTACAGGCAATGCCACAATAAACTGCATTTGTTTATTGCTACAAATAAATCCATAGGATAAATTCCCAGAAGGGAAACAGCTGAGTCATGTTGGAATTTTGATAGATTGTGCCAGCCTGCTTCCAAAGAAGCTACAGCCACGGACCCTCTCACCTCCAGGCTATGAGAGCATCTCGGTTCCCAGAACCTCATAGCTCAGGACATTAACAACCCTCACAGTCGGCTAAATAATCAGTTAGCTTTTTACGTAATAGGAATATAAGTATACGGAAGAGCTCCACACAGTAATTGATACCATTATCTGCTCTCAAGGACCCTAGAATGGGGTTGTAATTCCCTTCTGAACAGAGGTAGGGGCTGCAGTGAGTCAGAGAATGGCCCAAATCCCAGCTACCCTTGCCATTAACCCTATGACCTGTATGTGGAATGGGCATGTTCATGCCTACCTGAAAGGGCTGCTTTGAGGATTAATAAGGCATACTGAGAAAGCTGCTAGAACCCTGCCCGGAACGCCATAACCATGTACTTATTTGTACTATGAAGAAAAATGCCAGAGTGTCAGAGAACAGATGTCAACTCACACACCTCCTATACTTTGCTGATCCAGGCAGATATGAGTGGGCAGAGTTGAGTCAAGATGCAAGGTGGCATTTTACAACCACTGGAAGCCTCAAGGAGCATCACAGAAAAAAACAGGCAAGTGAGATCTCAGCTCCATCTTCTGTTATTTCGTTTCATTTGCTGAGGCAGTACAGGGAGGGAGAATAACTGCAGTCCTGGTTATTATACTTACCAGCAATGAGAACTCAAGAAAGTTCCTACAACTCTAAGCTATCCAGTCTGCTCAGACTCATGGCAACCTTATGTATAAGAGAGCAAAAGAATTGCCTAGTCTTGTGCCATTTTAATGATGGTAAAGTAGCAGTACTAAGACAAAAAATAGACTGTAGGAGAGCAAAAATTCTATTTTCTAGAGACAGTACCACCATAAGTACAAGGGTGAGAACTCTTCTGAAGAATGCTAACATTACAGTTTGCTTTCAATCTAATTTCCAATATTGTTTCAAAAGATGAGACTGCCAGGGAAGGAGAGGGAGGTATGCCATCTACCTTCTTATTAGGCAGAGAGTCTGGAAAGTTCCATCTCACTCCTGTTTTTCTCCATCCAATCCTTCAAGTCCAGGTTAGCATCTACCTCAACAGGCCTTGCTCCTGCTTGCTCTTCCCAGTGCCATAACAGATCCTGCAGCGCCACATATCCTTCTCCACTTTCAGACTTCTATAACCAAGGGCTTCTGACCCTGGATATTCAGGGTACGGCGGCCTGAGAGAACACGGTCAGCCCCGTCTCCACCCAGCCATTTGGTCAGTCCTGCGTGAACTAAGATGGTGACCACCGTAAAGAACTGGCAAGCCTCAAATCTTCGTCAGACACCACCTGCCACGGCCACAATATCACCCAGTCAGTGACACCATTCATACCTCCTCATGTTAAGGCCACACGGCCCGCATCCACCTCAACTCAACTCTGTCACAATCTCTGCGGGAGGGAAGAGGGGAAGCGTGGGGGGCATGGGGTAAGAATAAGGAGTCAAAATAACCCAAACTTGGCAGCCAAGGCCGTTCTCCCCGCCCCATATAAGGCAGAGTGGACGTCCTGCGGGCTGCACACTCCTCTGGCTCCAGGCGGGAAAGTCTCTTGCAGTCCACCCAAGAGAAACCAGAAGGTCAGGAGGAGGTCTTGCACGTCGCGTGGAGTGACAAGACCACAACAACCTGACGACAGACGTTCCTCACTGAACAACACTCCTGAACCGCCCAACAACCGTCGTCCACGCGGCCTGTTGTTTTCTCCCAAGTCAACGTCGAAAAAAACGACCACGTTTCAGCGCGCATCGCACCACGCGTGCGCACAGCCTCCAGAGGCGAGCCGTGTCGCTGTCACTGCGCATGCTCTTTCCCTAATTTCCCTACTCCCCGTTGACCCCGTTCCTGAATCCGGAGATCATGCGCATGCGTGTCTTCTGCTGCTGGGTTCCTTCTGCACCAAAGAGGCAGTGAATTTTAGGTTTGAAGCTGGGAGGACCGGAAGTTGCTTTGCTTCCTCGCTTCAACTCTGCCCTGACGGAAACTCAAGTACCAGAAGAGAGGTTCCGAGTTGGCCTGGGCTGGAGGCGGCGGAATGGAGGCCGGGACCGAGGACCCGGGACTGACTCGCCGCCCGACTTTGGCCTCGTCCTGGGATGCGCCGTGCGGGGCCCTGACACAGAGCCTCTTTCTCAGCCAGGATGGTCTCGGCGCCGGGGAATTCGACTGGGAGGAGCTGCTGGAGCCGCCTGCTCCCGGGTGTGTCAGGCCGGCCGGGACTGGGGCTGCTGCGCTCGGTGACAGCCGCGCTCCGGAGGGACCGTGCGGGGAAGCGGGTGGTGAGCGGCGAGGGTCTGGGCCCGGAGCGGAG